ATTATTTAGAAAATTAAACAACAAATAGTTTTTTAATGTTTCAAATTTATATTGTTTGCACTCTATTGTCTAGAATAGTCAACAAAAGAAAAATATCTATTGAGACACATGAAAATTAACACACTCCAACATTGTATCATTTAAACTTATGCCATTTAATCCATATTGTAAACCTGGTCTTTTGTCTGACAGGGGCCTCCTCTTTGAGCTTGATGCCTACCATAAAATCTTCTCACATAGCTAAAAAGAGTTAAGTATACCATGTAGATTTAAGTATCATTGATATACTAAGTTTGGTCAATTTAGCTTGGCTGTACTTAGCTTTTACAATAAATTCTCTTGAATGAGCCATTTGTATTGTATTTATAAGTATTAGTAAGAATGCATTCAGAAATAGTGTCAACACTGATTATTACAGCTTGACACAATGACCATCAATAACGTATTTGCATATTGTTTTCTGGACATAAATATTCCAATTAATGTTTATGATCTCAAACTAGATATGACTACCCTACCACACTAACTCTTATTTTTCAGAGGAAAGTATGAGAATAAATCATCAGTGGTCATAATTTTACACACTGAGCTGTAAATTTTTCAAAATAAGTGTAGTGTCAGTAACCAAATTAAATAAAGAAAAAATATGACACTTTTGCACAGAACAAGGAGAATAAGAATAATTAAAACTATTGGGGAGATTTTTCCTGGGTCAAGAGCCATGTCAGACTAAAACAATAAATGCTGATTTATGTGCATAACTTGAATTTATTTACATGACACATTACTCAATCACATAAGCTATGACATCATCAATCACATGCACATTATGAAATGTAGTATAATCCATCAATTATTTCTTCAATCTCAGGTAAAATAATATATATATATGTTCACAATGTCAACATAAATAGACCTAATCGACTTTCACCTAAATCAAACCACCTGGGAGCAAGTTTCATTGTTCTTTGTATTTTCATTTCACAGTTGAGTTCTTAAAAACAAAAATTCTTTTTCCCACAGGATTTGAATTGGGTGGCAACGTACATAGCAACGCCGTTAGCCGAGTAGGTCTATTTACAGCTGTATCATCCATGTATGATGATGCACCTAGGTCTACTACTTTTTTAATGCAAAATWAGGAAGACACGTAGATCAGTTTCTAGTATTCCAACTACAATCTATGGATTACTGTTCTGTTATGCGAGTTGTTATAGACAGAGCTTCTATGTATATGTCCACTCCCATTTCAGTGGATGATTTAAGTGGATCAACCTTTTCAAGAACCTTTTCAGCAATGCTGCTACCATTGTGTATTAAAACAGGACTGACGGTTACATTGTTCTCTGAATCTTCAAAAGGAGAAGGACCTTGAGGATCATCACCATACAGCTCCAAGCAGTCGGGGTCATCATCTAGAAGACCATTTGCAAGAGGATTATTCTCATCCATCATCCCATTCATCCACATTTGATTTGGGGTCCAGTTCTTTTCTGTTCTCATACTGTGGTTGTTAAATGCTTTACAGTACTCCTGCAAGGTGCTACTAATCCTGGGTAGAAAAACAAGATGGAGGGTAAACATATGAATGGGATTGTTGAGATCCAGCAGCCCAGCATTTTCCATTCCATAAAACACATAATAATAGAAATGCAACACACATCGAAAAACATCCCTCCACAAACGTTCAATTCTCTGATTTCTTGTAAACGATCCAGCAATAAAACTTCCTCTATTTGCCCCTCTTGCTTGGACCATGGCGTCGCATATAAAAACGTTCTCTAACCCCTATCAACCCTAATGCGTGATGGCCACAAACCATTACCTCTTTCTATAGACTCTAAAAAGTGATGAAGTACAGTCTCTGCAAGGTTATTTGTAGAAATGTCGAAGAAAATGATTTTTCTTGAAAACCCATCAATACAGCCATGTACTACAAAACTCCAGCGAATCAATGAGTGATGGCCATCTAAATGCCACAAGGAGTTGGGCCATGAAACATATTTTCTGCGGTTCACTGTAATACCCCATCGGAGAGCTTTATTAATAGGATCTACTCTTGTTAAACTTTCCCGTATTCTATGTCTTTGGACTCTCAAGCCAAGAGAACGTACATAACCAGAAATATACGTCTGTCCCACTGTTGCGCCATGACGATCAATGTAATCTTTTACAATATCATCCAGATCTTTATTTGTGCTAAACTTTGCAAGTTGTTGCAAATCAAACTCCTTGATACGTCTATGTATTGTCCATCTAGAAACTCCAAACAAAGAAGCTATTTTCTGAGAAGAAAATCCTAAMCCAAGAAGGCCTTSAAATGTCTCAACTGAAATATCAAAGGATGGCCTCCCAGGGGATCCATGGTGGACAACAGCACTTACAGTTCAGACATGTAGTTTTACGTTCAATACTTGCAACATGGTCCTGTACACAACTTAAAGTGCTAATGCAACGAAATTTCCCGCCAATTTTTTTTTTCAACAATAATAAAATTCATGAGTTTCTGGTTATCATGGCGCCATTTTCTTTAAAAATTTTATCGGACGAGAGCATTWTTTTCGGCCACGGAAACGGCTACTTCGCGCTCAAAAGTGTCCCGGTCGTTCGCGCGGCCAAACAAGGAAGTGTGACGTCACTGTGAGGGGTCGTTGTTTGTTTCGAACTTACAGACCAAGCAATGGCTGAGCCTTCCGCAAAGAAGTGCGGGAAAAGATACTGTGTCGCTGGAGGCCCAAACAACCAAAGCTGTAAAAATTGTGCCGCTACGTCTAGAGTGTCATTCCACAAATTTCCAAAGGATCAAAGACGATCGGCTTGGATACGTTTCGTGCAAAAACACAGACCAGGTTGGCAACCTAGCGATACGTCCGTGCTCTGTTCCGTCCATTTTGAACCTGATTGTTTCGTAGAAAGGCCAAATATTAATCTTAGAGACGATGCAGATAGTTTTAAAACAAAACCTTGGCTGATTAAAACTGCTGTACCTTCTGTTGATRCAGTAAACACATCGAATTCCAGCGGAACTGAACGAATATCTCGCGAAAAACGACAGGTAATTAACTTAAGCTTAAAGCTAAACTTGCTCGACTAGAACTAAAAATCTGTGTATAAATGTGGATTTAGTTTCAGATTTGGTTGACTTTTTCAAGGAAAAACATTTTTTTCTATAGATATTTCGAAATATAGCAAAGGACAACAAGTCAAACGAACGTAAAGACATAAATGATACAAAGGAAAGAAGTCTCTCGAAAACTGATTCACAAATACCCYTTGCCTCAAGATCGTCTAAGAACGAAGAAGTCATATCCTGTGAGACATGTTTTGAATTGAAAACGCGTTTAATTCGCCTCCAAGATACCTTCAGGCGAGCTAAATCAAGGCATACACAAATGAAATTAGAAGWTGCAGAGCTTAGACGTCAAAACAAAAAGATGGACGACCCAGACTGGATTACATTAGAAAGCGAAGCAATGGCAGATGATTCATAGAGTGATGAACAAAATAAGCGAAATAAAATAAGGTATTCTCCCAACACTTCTATTCTAGATTGGCCACCACACAGAGCTCAGGTACATTCATTGACACATAAGTTGTAATAAGACCTCTGCCCTCTAGCCTGAACAATCAAACGAAAATGAGCCGAAATTTGTTGTTTTTTACAGCACCTTGCTTTCACTATTTTCCCTGTTTTGCTTCAAGTGTAAGACTGGTGAGCCAAAAGTTCAAATGAAAAAGAATGGCACAATGGTCACTGTTATACAACATTGCTCAAATTGCATTGAAAAACCTTTCAAGTGGCAAAGTCAGCCGTTCGTATTAGGGAAATACCCTGCTGGCAATGTATTACTGAGTTTTGCAATACTCATGGCTGGTGCGTCTATTAGTAAAGTTCTTTTAGTATTCAAACATCTGGGTCTCTCAGCTTATGAAGCAAGAACTTACTTTTATCACCAAAATTGGTTTCTTTTTCCTGTCATAATACACTATTGGAGGACCTATTCAACTAATCTATTGACAGGGTTAAAATCCTGGAAGTCTCTCACCTGGTGTGGTGATGCCAGGTTTGACTCTATGGGCCATTCAGCTAAATATGGTGTTTACACAATGTTTTGTTCTTCAATTAATAAGATTGTTCATTTTGAACAGTTACAGGTAAATTACAAGACATGTCTTATCAATATACTGTCAATCCCATAAATGTTGATCAGTTGCAAATACATAAAGAGACAATAAAGTCATTTGCAAATATTCCAAGAATTTTAATTTTGCAAGATAATTCAACTTTAAGCTAAAMATTCATTCTATGACATTGAATTTGCAATTTATCTGAAGCTTTATAAACAGTTTTGTTCAAATGACTTTGTTGTTGTCTACTTACTTAATAACATTAATGGGATTGACTCATTTTGAAATTATTAACCCAATTACTTGCCTTACGATTGGGAATATTGCACAAATAAACCATGCAATTTTATGGTTTAAGTCTGTTTTTTTTTATTCCTGGCTTAATTGAATTAATTAGTAAAATACCCATTCCAGGCAAATGAAACTGACAACAGTAATGCCATGGAACTAGAAGGGGCCAAGAGATGTTTTTCATTTTTGCTGGCTGTCAAAGTTAAGATATCAAAATTCATTTCTGATCGTCATCGTGGGATTGCCAAGTGGTTGAGAACATCACATGGTACTGTGAAGCACTACTTTGACATATGGCATATTGCCAAGGCAATTRGAAAGAAAATGAATAAAGCTGCTAAAGTAAAAGGATGTGAACGAATAGGCTTATGGATAAGAGCAGTGCGCAATCACTTGTATTGGTGTGCTACATCAACCAATGAGGGATTTCACCAACTAATTGTAGCAAAATGGAAATCACTTATTCGTCATTTATCAAACAAACACGACAAACATCCTGACCTCCTATACCCTAAGTGCAGCCATGGTCATCTGGAACCACGTAAATGGATCCAAAAAAAGGTAAATGAATAACCAATGGTAGTATTATAACCTGGAGAGGTGATGATGGGTAATTACCAGAGAGTGAACTAATCCCTTATATCGCGCTGCGCTTGCCCTCGTGCCCCAGTTGCGATCCTTTGTCCTGCATGCGAGTTCTACTCTGATTTGATCAAGCAACTGCGAGCGAACGTCCTCTCGTCAACAGACAATCTCTAACGTAAGCTCAATCTCGTATCGCCTACACAATCATGTCAAAACAAACGACTAGAAAATCAACCAAACTTAAAGATTCACCACGGTCTACGCTGTTTGACCAACTGCATCAATTCGAAGGTATTGAGGTAGACGAAGGGGAGCAGTTTCCCTCTCTACCACGACCGTCAGCGACAGCGAACACAGCAAGCTCATCCGTAGCGCAGGAGCTACAACTTGTCCAGCTACAGAAGGAGAAACTTCTGTTAGAATTAGAGGTTTTACGCCTCAAGCAACAAAGCGCCACACCCCCCGGAACGCAAGCGGAGTTGGAGGGCACAAAATCAATACAGGAATTGAAGAAAAGAGTAATCGATTGGCCTCAAAACTTCGTTCCAGGTATGTCTGCGAGCCCTGAATTTCATAACTTAGATTTGCCTAGTTTTGTATCTGGATTCCTTGCTATGATAAGGCCTTACGACACCGAGACCAAGGAATGCATGATCGATATACTTGAACTCATATCGACCAAAGCTATCAGCTACTCCTGGAGTAGTGTTCGTGGTTTTTATTCATATCTTGCGAGACAAGTTGAACAGAGACGGCTAGACTGGTCTCAATTCAACGAAATAAGGAATGCTAGTACAACCTTCTTTAAACACTCCGACCTAAAATCATCGACACCAAAGGGCAATACTCCACGTCAGTCTACATCGGGAAACGGAGAAAAATCGACCGAAAAGGGCTGCCAAACATGGAATTATAAAGGAATGTGTTCTTGCGACAAGGCCTCGGATAACTTTGCAAATACACACGTATGCCGCGTGTGTAAGGCGTCTGATCATCCGATGTTAAATTGCCCGAAACGCAAAATGCCAATACCGGACAGCCAATGACATCAAAATTCATGCACCTTAATTCATCAGTTAACGGACAATGGACGGAACTCAAAATCGGACAATGATAAAATGGACATGATCACACAACATCCGCCTGCACAACATGCTACAAGAGCGGTTATTACACATTTACTCGCGTCAAAAGACAAACGACCCAATGCATTCGGAGCGAAAATTCCAGTTACATCAAATCTAAATATTTCTAAATGGAGGTCATATCTAYTTGATTATGCYGACCATGACGTTGTGGAATTTCTTCAATATGGTTGGCCAATTAATTATATGTTGGATGTTGACCCTCAGTTGTCATCTGTTAATCATCGATCAGCGGACATATATCCCGATCACGTACAACATTATATTGACACTGAATTAAGCTTCTGTGCCATAGCTGGTCCATTCTCTTCAAATCCCCTACACCAAATCTTGACAACATCACCTTTACAAACYGTTCCGAAGCGTGGTTCAGATAAACGGAGAGTGGTAATGGATTTAAGTTTCCCGCATGGCCAGTCAGTAAACGACGGAATACCCGGTGATAGCTATTTGGACTCACATTTCAAATTGCACTTGCCAGGTATCGAGCGGCTTCGTGAGTTTATAATTACAAAAGGTCAAGGTTGTTTAATATACAAGAAGGACTTAAGAAGGGCTTATCGACAGTTTCCGGTCGATCCTAAAGACTATAAATATCTCGGATTCAACTGGCAAGACAAAGTGTACTTCGACAT